GTATCGTTCTCAAATGGATGGTTACTCGGTTCCATTGTGCTATCTGCTCTTGCTTTGACTACTTGGACTTCAGTGTGATTTTGCAATCTGGATTTTTGTGCTTCGTCCATATTCATGTTCCTTGCATATCCCTGTTTGCAATTTTGTAGCGTCGCGCAGTCATGCAGGGGTAGCAAATTGGAAAAGACAATGCCCCGACTTCCTGCCATTTGCGAAATTGCCCACTTCTGCGGTGGTCACACGGCAAAAGTAGTCCCCGGATGTCTGCAATTCTCAGGATGTCTGCAATTCTCTTCTGTGAGCTCGATTCGGAGAAAAAGAATTGCCAACACGTCTAGACGTGGTGGCAAATTGCACAAACCCCGTCGCCCTGCAGGCCGCTGACATTTGCCACGCCAATTGCGAATTTGATGGGCGGGCGGGCAGGCAAAGTGTGACTGGTTTCCTAGTATAGCAAATTTTGCTTTTTTACCAAAAATGCATTAAGTGTGAGTAGTCCCTTACTATGTTTTTATTCTGGTCCAGATCCCACCCATAATCCTGTCTCTTATACACATCTAGATGTGTATAAGAGACAGCCTTGTGCGCGTGTGCTTGAGCCAATGCAGTTGACACAAACAGATGAACCTGACATAAACGATCAAGAACATAATGAATCTCCGCGTGCCGTGCAATCCACAGAATTGAATGAACTGCCCCCTGACGCACAACTAGCAGAATCAGATGATCTCATAGTGCTACAGCGAGGCCACTGTGCGCACTATGCAATCAATGTAGGTCTCCTCGCTTACAATTGTAACCCTTACACAGTTTCTGATTTTGCCAATATTGTCCATTGGATAGAAAAAGAGCACCATGTTGTATGCCCAGAGGATGACAGGACCGGTCCTGGAGTGAACATAGAAGTCTTGTCTATGGCATTTATGGGTAGAAGACTACAACTGGATCCTGCTGCCCAGAACCACATGCCATACATGGACTCAAATATCGGCTCGTACATCCTACATCGTCTAGGTCATTCCAGCACTTTGAACTTTGCAGATAATTCATAGGCGGTGGTAGGGTGCACAAGGTAAGTAGTATTTTATAACCAAGTAGAAAATACTCACTCAATTTGGGTTGTCCGTCAGGAACAGTATGTTACTTCGCACCCGCAAGCGCTTCAGTTTCCGGTGAGCAATCTGGATGCACAATCACCTCCTTCCCCTACACATGGCCACGCAATGTCCCCTCCCTATGTGGATCGGACAGATTCTGCTCCAAACAATGAAAAAAAAACCTTAGAAGATGTTGGTTGTGCCCTTCCATTCTGTGACGGACCTGCCGGGATGGCGGTCCGTCAAGATCAAGACGAAGGATGAGGATGGGGGAGATGGAGATGGAGATGGAAGGGAGAACGCAACTCCAACGCATACTCAACACGCACGTACTCCAAACTATGCAAGTGAAGAATGAGACTGAAAACATATTGTAGCTGGGGTATACCCCCAGCGGACCGACTGGGCTGGACTGGACTGGCCTGATTCCGACAGTCGTACCAGGCAGGACTGGACCGGACTGAATGAGCACATAGTCTGTCGGGTCAGGCCACGACCTGGTCCCACAGGTCGAACAGGCAAAATATCCAGATAGCCCTGGCTTTAGGCCGGGGCAACTAGAGGCACGATGCACGATCCTCAGACCTGTAGTGGATCTCGAGAGCCATAAACACGCTTCCACAAAAGCAACGGAACTCTGCAAACAATAAAGCTGAAAAATCTAGGATGCGGAGTCCATGCGAGGCAGCCTAAGCTATATAATATTATAGCAAATGCAAATATCTGATATACACATCCTAGTTAACAACATGAAATGAAATGTAGCAGGGTACAAGAGGCAATTGTCAAAGTGCCGAAAGGAAAAGATAGCAATATGTCACAAGATAATGTCATGTCGCTCAACCACTAAGAGTGGGATGGTGTTAGAGGGGGTGAATGCAGCCTAAGAATAGAAACTCCTAAGGGCAGTAACACACGAAGATGGGATGGGTCATCAGGCTCAGGGCGAGGGAACGGTAGCGAAACAAAACCAATCAACCTAACAGATAGACTATCAAGGCAGATAATGCTCAACAAAGGGGTGACACCATGAAGGGTCGACCATGAAAGGGGAGCATGGAATAGGGTGGAGATATGCCTAACTGAAGGCATTTAATGGTCGACACTAGGGTGATGAGGGCAGTGGGTGAGGGAAACATGCACACAACTCACCGACTAGGGATAAAGCCAGATCTGGGAGCAGGGAAGCCGAGATAACGCTACGGTCCCAACGCCACTTATGCGATACCAGGGGAGAGCCCAACTCAAGGAGAACCAACTAAGTGAGAACCATCATGCGACACGTACAAATGAATGCACAAGGTAGGGTGGTGGTGTGAAGTAATTACGTCCAAAGTAGCTAAAGCTGATAAAGTAGCTGAAGTCGAGAAGGTAGCTGAAGTCGTCGAGGTGGTCGATGATGCCGACGAAGTAGGAGTCGAGTCGATGTCGAAGCAGAGTCGCAAAATGGTGACATCCCGAAGAGTTGATGATGGAGTACATGATATTGTGAGTCAGTGGTAGGAGATAAGTAAGTGATAAGAGTGTCAGTCGTCGAGACACCGAGGGTGCCGACAAGTGCGTTGTGGACGTGCGGAGGCGTTTGCCTGCTGCTGAAGAACGGCCTCGGAGGGAGCAGGCTCGTCCTCAACAATCTCCTCAGCCGGAGCAGGAGGAAGAGGGCCAGTCGGCTGAGTAGGAGGAGATGTCTTAGCACGACGAGCACAATCATATGCACGCACCAACATCCGGGCGTGCTCCACGTGCTCGAGCGGTTCCCATGTAGCCTTACAGCAGTATAACCCTTCCAACGCACAAGGTACTCGATGCGTGGAGGGATCGTGACCGTCCACCATGATAGGTGGAGGGCGCTCATAAGGACGTTCGGCGAAGCACTCAGCCGGTCTGCGATAAGGACGCAGCAAGGAGACGTGGTATACATCATGTACGCAAGTCTATCGAAGGTAATCAGGTAGCTTCACATGGAAGCTGACCGGACTAGTGGCAACATCAGAACCGACAGCCTGAAGGATGCGGCATGAACCGAAGAAGCGACACTTGAACTTGCGAAGCGTATCCGCTTCGAGCTGCAAGTGGCGTGTGTTGACGAGCACATCGTCACCGACTTTGAATGAATGATCCATTCGTGATCAATTTGCTTGTGCGGCCATGCGAGTCTGGGAGTCGACCAGACTCTCGTATGTGAGCCTCACAATCGCCGTCATGTAGGCGATCCAGTCGTCAAGCGCAGGACAACGAGTGTTTGGGCGCAACCGCGGCGGTCGTAGGAAATCCGAAGGTACGCGAGGTTGGTAGTCGAGGTCGTAATAGAATGACGACATTCATGTGGTTGGCGAAACGACGTCGTTATATGCAATCTCCACATGGGCTAAGTGTAAGTCCCACTACTAGTCATCCCTAATTAACTTTTGGAGGATATTACCAAGAGTTTTATTGGTGACCTTAGTCTGATCATCCGTCTGAGGGTGGTAAAACAACGAGAAGCGAAGTTGGGATCCATACACCTCGTGTAGGCGTCGCCAGAATGTGTTAGTAAAGCGCGGGTCACGGTCGGAGATGATACTCTGAGGTAAGCCGTGATCTCTCACGACTCCCTCGAAGACGATGTCGGCGACCTCACGAGCGCTAAGGGGATAGCGACACAGGACAAAACGTGCACGCTTCGTGAAGCGCTTCGTGAAGCGATCGACGACGACCAAGATAGCATCATGACCCCGTTGAGTGGGAGGGCGGAGGGGCAACAAAATTCATGAAGATGGACTACCAACGACCCACAGGTATGGGTAGAGGCTGAAGTAACCCAAACAGAAGGTGGTTCGCACTGTTCACCTCCTGGCAGGTAGGACACTCCTGGACGTAGACTTCAACGAAGTCCTTGGACTTCGGCCAGACGTATAGGCGACAAACACGGACCAATGTCTTGTGGAAGTCCATATGACTGGCAGCTGCCTCGTCATGGAACTCTGGTACGATTTGGACGCGGAGCTGTCCAGTGGAGGGAACACAGATAAATGGTTCTAG